ATATATATATATACATATTCTATATTATTTTAAAAGAGAGTTTATGCCCAAGTTCTACTATATAATAAATTCTACTATAATATTGAAGAAACTTCCTTTTAAAAGTCCCACAAGTATAATATATAATATTCAAGATTGGGACTTTTCCCAATCTTGAATATTATATATTATATTTGGGCCTAAACTCTCTTTTATAATATAGTAGAATATAAGTTAGCATATTTGGCTCTTTGATAGGAGAATTTCTTTTGTAAATATATCTTAGTATCTTACCATATTTACAATTTGGCCAAGTTGTACAATAAAAAATTCCTCTTTAATTAACTTATATATATATATACTTATAATATATGCAATGTTTTACTTCCGTAAATATTTTGTATTTTCGTTCTCAAAGTGCATTGCTTCCTTTTATATGTTTGAAAACTTCATTATATTTCTGTTGTACCCATAAAATTCTATAAAATGGGATTGAGTATCAAAATAGAGAATAGTATTTTATTTTTTTGATGATTGTGATATTCGGATCAGCTTTTTCGCACCTCGACTAATTTCAAGAAATACATGCCACCTCACACCTACGGTCACCAATGACCTCACCCCATCCCTAGACCATATCCCCATCCCCGAATACTCACTCCCCATCCGTTCTATTTTTATGATATTTTGCTAGATTACATATAACTACTCTTGAAATAATAATTTATTATTTACTTACCAATTACTAAAAAATAAATAAGAATAATATTGAATTTTCAAAAAAGTAAAAATATTTTTCCATTACCAAAAATACCCTTAACTTTCACAATATTTAATGTTCTCATTTGAATTATTGGCGCATACTGTATTTAATTAATTTAAAGCATATTTAAGGGAGCTTACACTCAAAACAAGATACACAAGGCTCCTTAATAATTCTGTTTAACCTAAGGTTGACAGCTTCCTAACTCCCCAAAATATCCCTTAGACAGCTCCTCCCACTAATGCATTTTCTATTCAATTATTCACCCAATTAAATAATTTTTAATTTCACTTCTTCAAGTTTTTGTCCTACTATTATATCTTAATTTAAGTTGCTAGAGTACCTATTTTATTTTTATATTTATTACAAGGAAGAAACATAGTTCATCTTCTTCTATTCTTTTGTAGAAGATAAAAATTAGAAAATAAAATCTTATATTCTTGGTTTATTTATTTTTATAAATTATTAAACAACAATAATAACATATTTAATATAATGTCACAAGTGAGGTTTAAGAGGGTAGAGTGACAAGATCTTACGTTTACCTTGTGAAGGTATAAAAGGTATTATTGAAAGACGTTCAACTCAAGTGCAACAAAACAAAGTATTCATGAAAAAGGAAATACAATAGTGAACAAAACATGTCAATTAATAAGAAAAGTAGTACAAACCATTCAGGAAAAAAGAGAGAATAATAACAATAATGAAATAATGCGCTAACTGAAACACATTAGACAACAAATGGTATCAGATATCAAAAGCAAGAAATTACATATATAAGGCTAATATTACGAGAACACGGTGCTCCCAAACTCCCACTAAGTCTAATCCCGCTGAAAAGTGAGTCAAAACTCAATTACCTACTAACATTCTACCTTATTCTGCAATCTCCACACCCTCCTATCTAATATCATGTCTTCAATCGGGAAGTTGAAGTTGTACCATGTCCTGTCTAATTACCTCTCTTCAATACTTCTTAAGTTTATCTTCACATTTTCGCATACCATCATATTCAACCTCTCACACCTCCTCACTAGGCATCTTCATACGTCCAATTCATCTTAATCCCGCTTCTCTCATTTTATCCACCACAAAGACTATTCACATTTTATCCAAAAAATTCTTTTTTTTAATCTTATCTCACTTAGTATGCAAACACATTAATAAGTTCTCAAACAATTGCAAAATCAATGTTATGAATACTACAATTATGGGTGTGTTAAGATTGTTTTTTTAAAAATAGCTTATAAGCTAAATGTCATAAAAGTCTATTTGGATTGACTTTTTATTTTTAATTATTTTTTACTTATTTTTAACATTTTAGTTTAAAACTAAAGTGTTTAGCATTTTGACTTATTTTTACCATTCCACTTTTCTTTTTCAGCTAACTAGCAATGTGAGACTTTATTCACATCTCCAACATCTCTCTATAAATTTTCCATCAAGAAATACTAATTAGTTGGATTAAATGAAGTAAGAAGTCGTTCGATTGGGAACATGTTATTCCAGGATAAGTTATTACGAAAGGCCTAACCCATCGGTGGCCCCCTAAAGTTGACACCATATTTTACTTAGACACTTCAATGGAGCGATATTCATTTTAGACACCTCATGTAGGATTTCGCTGTGTCATTTTGATTATGTATATGAAATATTTTATTCCATCACTAATATATAAATGATGAGAAAAAATAGTTCCAGAACAACCTAATACCTCCGACTAAATACAAGATAAAATAGTCATACATTTTATCCCTAAGATTATTATGCCGTATATCTCACACCGTAAATGAGAAAGTAGGTATGTATGTGATGATGAAGCAATTAGTCCACTTGCTTGCCACATGGCCCTCTTAAGATCTGAGGAAAATATCATCGCCACGTATGCATTGAGAAAACACAGCTAAAGATCTTCTTTCTGCTCCATATCTTTTTCTCTTCTTTAAACTCTTCTTCTCCTCCTTGTATTTTTTTCTCTCCAAATCCCTAAAATATCTTCCCTAAAATCCTTCTTTTTTTTCCAGATTTACCCTCACCAGTTTTCAGAATTCACATCTACGGTAGTTTACCATTTTTTTTATTAAAATAAACTTTGTTCTAATAATTTTTTTCTGGGTTTCTTCGTGCATAATATGTTATAGATGTTGAGCTGTATTTGTTTTTGAAGGTTTTTTAAAAAAAGTTGTCGAACAGTTTTATTGTACTATTTTCGATTTTCTTTTTTTAGGAATAAGAATTGAGAAACAGTATATAATTGGAGAATTGATTATACTTCTAATTTATTTGAAAATATTTTTTTTTTTTTTGACAATTTGTGCAAGTGATAATTTTCTGTTAATGGGAAAATGAAAAAAAAGAAGAAGTTTTTTGTTCCGTTTATTTTCAGATCATTTTGATGAATTAATACTTTTTTTTAAGCTTTCAAAAGGTATTAATTTAGTTGTGCATTTGTGTAACAGTTTGAAGTTTTTTTGTTTTTTTTGTTGATGGTTTGTGCAAGTGAAATGAACTGCAAACGCTTTTTCCTGTTAATGGGAAAAAATGGGGAAAAAAATTGTTCATTTTTTAGGAGAAAAAGGGTTCTTTTTAGCTTTCAAAAGGTATTAATTTTGTTGTGCATTTGTTTAACTGTTTGATGATTTTTTATTTTTTGGTTTTGCAGGATAAAGTGGTGTATTATTATTGTCTTCTTCACTGTTTAATAGTGAAATCTACAACTGCCATAAGCTGGTTATAACATTAAAGGGAGTAGCTTGAAGCTCTAAGGTAATTTTTCTTGATAAGATCCCTGGATCCCGTGGCAATTTTCATTAAGGAGGTTCAAAATATGAAGTAAACATATGAAAAAGTTTAGGGGTTCAACACTTACCATATATACGTAAAAAAAAAAAAAACCGTGTATAAACTGTATAATTATGAACCCCATTAACCTTACTAGTTCCGCCCCTGCCTGGACCATCCTTGGATTGGGATCCAAATATGTTGAATTACAATATTTTGATCCTTGATTTGTAGCATTTTCTCGATCACTAAAATTCTTTGATTGTCAAACAGTTATATGGCTTCTTCAAGCACAAGGTGGATTGATAGTCTTCATTTCTCTTCATTATTTTGGCTTCCTCCACAAGATGCAGAGCAGCGGAAGGTGCGCTGCTCATATGCTTCACTACAATATCTTTATATGCTTTTTCGTTTGTTGGAGACATTTTAAACTATCTATGGTGACCTTTCAACTCTTGTGATAATTGAAGAAAATATGTGATTAGGTAGAAGGGTATACAAAGGAGGAATACAATGTAGCTGACCCTAACGTACTGTTGCATTTGACGAAAAGGGCCCTCCAATCTGATTAAAGATAGGTTGAAGAATGTCATGTAAAATGCCTATCGCTTTGCTCCATTATAGAAGATAGACAGACTACTTTCCCCAAACTTTTTAAAAAATAAAATCAAATGGCTCTTAGAATGTCGAGGTTATGCTCTATTCAGAGACCATACCACAACTAACAAACCATGCAGGCAAATAATAACACTCTGTACGTGATTAGAAGTCCCAAAATTTAACAATCACAAACTAATGAGGTTTAGATGAAGTCACAAGAGACTACTCAAACAGCACAAATAATCTTTGCCGCAACTCTCTTGCAAAAAACAACTTGCTCATAGTGCAACTATCTGGATTTATCATTTGAAAGGCCTTCGTAGTTGTATTTTGTTCTAACCGTTAAGCCTCTCTTGTACCAACACCAAGTAAATGCCTGGATACTTGGTGTATTCTCTTTAAAGGTGGTGAAAGAATTTTTTATTAAGATTCCAACCATTTAGAATGTCGGCATGTCTATGATAATGAAGGATTTGCATGTGTAACTTTTTCCTGGAGTTGGAAACAATGACGTTATATAATTTAAGTACTTGGGGTAACATTTACTTTTAATCCCATAAAGAAATGGAATCCGAGAGGAAGAGTTACTTTTCTGGTGGGAATATAATAAACGTTTAATAGCTAGTCTTGGTTTTATGAGACAGTGAGGAGCATCTCTAACCAAATAGTCTTACAAAAAGCAAGTATTGCACTATGCTTTATTCTTTCTCAAACAGGAGGTTGGATGAAGGATATAGATGTGAGATACATTTCATGGACTTTCAATTCCCCATGAGGATGACCCAGTGGCTGAGGCTCGAGAGTAACAGTTTGGAAATCCTGTTACAGTACTTTGTATGGGCTCATTTGCTCCAACCTTGGTGGCATGATTATATTTTCAATCCGTGCTTGTGCCATGTGGGCTGGACATGCTACAGTTGAACTAGTCGATATGCGCACAAACTGGTTTGAACACTTACAAAATAAAAATTAAACTCATGCCCCTTTATATGTGATATTTATACCCATAGAGACCGTACTTGCTCTAATCACTCTGGGGAGAGATTTAGGTTCTTCAATTAGTCTTCCCAACCTTCTTCCTACTTAAGAAGTGAACTCCATCATTCTATGTGGTGCATGTTCCATTGTGAAAGCTTGTTTATCAGTCTCAAGTTGATCCCAGTTGATACTCTGACCAGTGGGTAATATGACTATTAACACATCAAAGCATGTAAACTACATCCTTCATCTTGTACTTGGAAATTGGAAAAGAAGGGTGTAGGACACTACGATGAGGGTTGGTGCTGTCTGAGACATATTTCAAACAGATGAACAAGAAGTTTCTTCTGAGGGGTGCCTATACTGCATAATATTCAACAAGGAAAAATGTTAATGAAGGAACGAAAAACCCTGTGTGTTGTATAATGGCTCTTCAATAAAGTAGAGAGGGAAGACGAAAAAATGTGCTTCTTACAAGGGAAGCAAATGGCGCATAGTGAGAAGGGACATAATCTGAAAGGTAGCAATTGCTTGAGGACCAGAACTCTTTAATAAATTTCAAGAAAGATCTCTGACACAGGATCCGACCTTCCAATGCTATTTGTCTGGACTTGAATTGGGTTGAATTAGTCCCATTGCATTATCGTCTTAAATTTTTTTATGCCTGAAAGACTTCTTACTTTTTTTTGTTTATTTTCTATAGACTACCTTTGTATTTTCACTAATGACAAACCTCCTTTTATATTCTCTTCATAGGATCAAATTACCGCGTATGTTAAGTACTTTGGTCAGTTCACATCAGAACAATTTCCTGAAGATATAGCTGAGGTATTTAGTAAATTCTGTGACCATCTCTGTTTATAATTTTAATATCTGAACCAAGTTTTGTTCATTCTTCCCTCTAAACTAACTGCATGTGTTATAATTGGCAGCTCATACGGAACCGGTATCCATCGAAGGAGAACCGACTTTTTGATGATGTTTTAGGTATTATTTTATTCTCACCTATTATTTAGCATTTACAGTATTGCTTCCACCTACTAGTGAGGATTGATTGAGCTGTTTCTATGTTTTGTTGTTTGTTATAATTGCCAGCAACTTTTGTTCTTCATCACCCGGAGCATGGGCATGCTGTAGTTCATCCAATTATTTCATGCATCATTGATGGTACACTGGAGTATGATAAAAGTAGTCCACCTTTTGCTTCTTTTATATCATTGGTTTGCTCAAGGAGTGAGGTATGCAGACTCTCTAAAAATTTAACTTAACTCATCTCATCATGCTTTTTTACTCTGATATTTTTAAAGCCCATCTTGAATATCATAATATGAGTCTCCCTACTAATTATTAACCCTTAACACAGAAGGAATATTCTGAACAATGGGCTCTTGCATGTGGAGAGATTTTACGTATACTAACACACTACAACCGCCCAATTTTCAAAGTTGATCGTCAGGACAATGGAACAGATAGAAGCACCAGTGGAAGCCACACTTCAACAAGTAAATCTTCCTGTAGTGAACCTGGTGTGCCTTCTATACAACATGAGAGAAAACCTATAAGACCATTGTCTCCATGGATCACTGATATATTGCTTGCTGCGCCACTAGGGATTAGAAGCGATTACTTCCGTTGGTAAGCATCTCTAATGTTGCTTGCGGGTTAGATGTTTCATTACACTTTATAATTCATTAAGAATGCAGGAAATATTCATTAGCATTAGTTGATAGGAATATTTTGTACTCGTATTTCTTGTACTGGACAGTGGGCATTTGCATCTGGTTGTCTTGGTTTAGCGCATTGCCCATTGATTACTCAGGGAATGTTGGTTTTGGTTTGGGTTACCATTTACATTAGGAGTAAGTTGAATTTTGGAAAGAGAAATTCACGTCAGCTATATTTTTAACTCTATTCTGGTCAATGCAAAATTGTTCTTTATTTCCTGAGTCCTTCTGACAAAACTTCATAATCTGATCATGCTTGTGTTCTGCTGTTTTTTTTTGTCTTTCTTGCATATGCTTAGGCTTCAGATCATATCCCTGGCTGATATGCAATGCCAGTTTTTTCGCTGTCACCATTTAGTGGGGGCATGGTCTGAATTGTACTTTGTGCTCAGTTCATGTACTGTCAACGAACATTGCCCCTTAAAATGAAATTGTATATTTTGTGTTTAACAGTTTCTCTTCCCCATTTAAGAAGTTATGGATGACCTAGAATACTCTTTTCTTTGCTCCATATTCACTGTTTTAACATGATAGGGTTCTTAACCTCCTACGTATTTGTTTCTTCTCCTGTTTCATCATGTATGGTTCTCTGCGAGACATATTACACTGGTTGATGCTGGTCTGTGCATAGGATAATGTTCAAATTCCTTAATGGCAGGCATGCTTGCCAATGCTTTCCTGCTATGACTTATGAATAACCTTCAGAAAAACTTCTATTTATTTATTGTGCATGGCACATTAAACTACAAGGGCAATAACTCAAAAGACCCACGTGGATAATGCATCTCTAAGTAGTACCACAAAGACACCTGCTTTTGAGTTATGTTGTCAAAGGCTTGCTTGCAGAGAGCTTTACCTCCAAAACTAGGTGCAAAGTAGGTTGTCCGCTTAGCCTAGCTAAATCTGTGCTTCGGTGCAATCACCAAAGCACCAAGACATTCGCCTCATCACCCATGGGCTCTGTTGTGAAAAGAGCAATTTTAAACAATACAAAACTTCACCCAATTGTATCTTTTTCAATTCTTTTGTCAAAATAATTGTGGTTTGGGTTGTCTTGGAGTGTGTGTGTGCTATTTCCCTTCAATTGCGCCTTTCTTCGTTAAAGCCCGGGCCTTATCAGTGCTTTGCGTTTAAAGCCCCTAATAGACTTCAGAAAGCTTCTTTTTTCTTCACTTCTCTCCTTTGGTAATACAGCTTCGAGTCCATTTGATTCCTTCAGAATTTGTGCGAATGCTAGTCGACATTTATCTACTTTTTGGTGCTCTTCATATTAAAGGACTTCGACACTATCATTTTATAGACCTGGAATATTTTTCATTGAGATTCTCTAAATTGGTAACTTGTAGAGTTTGAGACTGATGAACAAGGATTACCGAAAACTACACTATCCTGCTAATTGCTGTGAAATCTTTCATGCTTGTGCAGGTGTGGCGGTGTTATGGGAAAGTATGCTGCTGGAGATCTCAAGCCCCCATCAAGTGGTATGTGGACTTTCGTTTCATGAAATATTTGCTCCTGTTTATGGCTCTGGACCTACACTTACAATTTTTAGTTTTTTAACACCTACGCGCAATTCCTATGGACTCTGATAACATGCTTGAAAATCAGTGCAAGAAGTCTTCATACTGGGTAAAACTGGTAATAGAGTAGTGACCTCTTTTTACTTGCCTTATGTATTGTCATCTTCTAGCTAGTGAAAATAATGCTCCGGGCTCATGTTTCTTACCAAGTCTTACAAAAGAAATATATTTTTTCTCACATTAACATTAGTTCCTTTTCTCTTTCTAGATTATGTTTCTTGAAAAGAATAAGAAAGAGGAACAGTTGTCCCTGACCGCCACTGCAATTTTCTGCTAATTGTGATTTTGTGAAAGAATTGAAGCATTCACCTAAGAGGAACAGTTTTCCCTGACCGCCACTGCAATTTTCCGCTAATTGTGATTTTGTGAAAGAATCTAAGCATTCACCCCTAAAACCTTAAGGCATTGGGTAGAAAACTCCAAGATCTTTACAACAGTTTGGAAGCCCTTACACAACCTACTTGGGACAAATATATAGCTGAATAGTCAATACCTTTTTGCACATGTAAGATTTGTACATTAACTCTAGCGTGGACTCATTAGTTGGTGAATTGGCATACCAAAGGATGTGTTTGATACTGTGTGAATCTGAGAGGATAGCTAAAAACCTTAATAAATTGTTTGGAAGCTCTTACACAATCTATGTAGGAAAAGTAATATAACTCAAACATAACTCAACAGATAAGATACATTTGCTTTGTTTCCATTCATTTTCTTCCATCTGTCCCTCCAATTAGACATTGAGTTTCCCAACTTTCTTATAGAAGGCTAAGATATTAATTTTAAAGTGTTTTCATATGCTAGAATTGCAACAGAACTGTTACTGACTTGAAAGCTTATTTTAGCTGCTTCTCGTGGGTCTGGGAAGCATCCACAACTACTGCCTGCAACTCCAAGGTGGGCTGTTGCTAATGGTGCTGGCGTTATTTTAAGTGTTTGTGATGAGGAAGTTTCTCGCTACGAGACTGCTACCTTGACTGCAGCCGCTGTTCCTGCACTTCTGCTTCCACCTCCAACAACGCCTATGGATGAGCACCTCGTTGCAGGACTACCACCACTTGAGCCATATGCACGTTTATTTCATCGGTAAGACTAAGAGCATGATTTAATTTAACTTTACAGCTTTGAATTAAGGGACTCATTTTAACTTCTGTTTCTGGATTAGATATTATGCAATTGCAAGTCCAAGTGCCACACAGAGGCTTCTTGTTGGACTTTTAGAAGCTCCACCATCTTGGGCTCCGGATGCACTTGATGCTGCGGTACAACTAGTGGAACTTCTGCGAGCAGCTGAAGATTATGCATCTGGATTGCGTGTAAGTTTGAAAATTTTCCGTCAAAGTATTGTGATATTTGAGCATCAATCTGCTATATGTCTGAACATCTTAGCAATTTATATTCATTTCTCTGTTTTCTTTGTGGTTCTTTATACAACTGTAAGGTTATACGTTTTAACCATCTATGCTATGTTGGAACACATAGATTGAATTGTTCTGTATGAATTGTATATAAACTTGCCCCAAACTACTATGCTCTCTTGTCCGAAATGAGCATATCTGTAGACATGTAGACATAAAGAATTCACTGTTTGCAGTCTTGACATTTAGCCAATTCCTGTATGTTAAATTGTCTTAGTTGCTTCTCTAAGAGCTTAAGTTGTTAGCAAGGGACATTTTCATTTTATTACTTACATTTCTGCACAACCTGCTCCTTCATTTGTTGGTCTGATTTTCGTTTTACCAATTTAGAATTTTTTAGGGCTTTTCCAATTTTGTCCCGTAGGCCAAAATTAACTACAGGTGCTAGCCGAAATATACAAAAACTATACACTAATTATGTATATTTCTAATCAAAGTACCCAAAACCGGTTGACCAGATGGGGTACGGATCCCACACCCACACCCATGTGGTGTCGACACTGGTGCGGCACCAAAAGTGAAGAGTCCGAGCAACTTAATTTCTACTTAATATACAAAGCCTATACATTTGCTGGCTATTTTGTAAATTAGATCACCGAAAGACATTGGACTGTAATTATCTCTTGTTTTTTTATTGGTGATGGTGATAATATTAGACATGTGTCTAAATGGAGCGGCATGAATAGTGAGGATTCACATAGCCGATTCCAACTAGCTTGGGTTTAAGGCATAGGGCGGTACCTTGATCGTTGAACCAAGTTGCTCTTCATACTCTAGTACCATGTTGAAATATGTTAACTGTCTTATCTAAAAGTGTTTAAAACTGCCGGAGGGGTATAATTTAATTATACTACAAATAATATATGTGAGATATGAGAGAAGAGTTTGACCAAATGCATGAGGAGAGTGTCTTACACGTAGGGTTTATATAGACATGTACAAGGTATTCTGCAAGACTATAGTCCAAGTTAGCACACCTCTAATCTTCCATGTGCCTGTTATTTCTGATACCTTCTGTCAAGTTAGTGCCAAGCTTGTTACATATGAAACTAGTTCAGGGATGTGCAAGAGGTTTGATCACGATTGCTGGTAGGAGTGACTCTATATGATAAATCTCTTAAAAGAGGACAAAGTAGACTCAAAATCACATGGAAGGATGCTGTCTAAAAAGACCTATAATCTCTCAGAATTCATATGCACAATTTTCTTATAGATTTGTAGTCAGTAGAATACAGAGAGGACTTCTAGTTTCGGAGAGACTGTTATTAGAATGGAACGGTCCTAAATGTACCAAAATGGATACTGAGGATCAATATAGCCAACCCCGACTAGTTTGGAATTGAAGCATATAGTTCCTATTGAGTTGTGTTGTTGTAGTGAACTTCTGTCTCCTTGCTTTCAGCTATCCTTGAAATCCTTTGTATAAACTATGACCTCTGAATTGTTCTCCACAGAAATGTATTTAATTATTAAGGAACTTGATTGGTTGTGTTGCTTGAGTACACCTTTCTATCCTACATTAGTAGAATTTTTCTTTTAGCTTCTTTTGTAGAATTCCTAACATTTTATGTATTGCCAAAGCTTCCTAGGAATTGGATGCACTTGCATTTCTTGCGTGCAATTGGAATTGCCATGTCCATGAGAGCAGGAATTGCTGCAGATTCTGCAGCAGCTTTACTTTTCCGAGTACTTTCTCAACCTGCTTTGCTATTCCCCCCCTTGAGGCAAATTGAAGAAATTGAAGTTCAACATGAACCTCTGGGTGGCGACACTTCATGTAATAAAAAGCAGGTACGTCCGATCATGAGTTTATCAATGTGCTAGTTCTTCCATTCTGTGGATTTCTTCTTTTATTTGGATATATATGTTTGGCATATGTGATTACCATTGTTATTATTCTTCAGAGAGAAGTGACTGCTGCAGAAGCCACAGTAGAAGCCACTGCCCAAGGGATTGCATCAATGCTTTGTGCACATGGTCCGGAGGTTGAATGGAGAATATGTACCATCTGGGAAGCTGCTTATGGATTGATTCCTTTAAGTTCATCTGCAGTTGATCTCCCTGAGATTGTAGTTGCCACCCCTTTACAACCACCCATTTTGTCATGGAACCTGTATACACCCCTTCTTAAGGTTCTTGAGTATCTTCCTCGTGGGAGTCCATCTGAAACTTGTCTTATGAAAATATTTGTTGCAACCGTCGAAGCAATTCTTCAGAGAACGTTCCCGCCTGATTCCTCTAGAGAAGAAACCAGAAAAACCAGATATGTTTTCGGCCCTGCCTTCAAAAATCTTGCTGTGGCAGAACTGCGAACCATGGTTCATTCATTGTTCTTGGAGTCATGTGCCTCTGTTGAGCTTGCATCTCGACTACTTTTTGTTATCTTAACAGTATGTGTCAGTCATGAAGCAAAACCAAATGGGAATAAAAGGCCTAAAGGTGAAGATTCTCACCCACCTAGTGAAATCGGGGTAGACACTCCGGCAACCATCGGAAAACAAAGACCAATAGGAAGTAAGAAAGTGAAAAAACAAGGACCTGTTGCAGCATTTGATTCTTATGTCCTTGCTTCTGTCTGTGGACTTTCTTGCGAACTTCAGCTCTTCAGTATGATTTCAAGAGGGCCTAATCATCCAGATCCAAAAATCATCATGGATGAAGCCAAGCCTGCAAATGATTCATCTAATGAGCTACGAAACGGGATTCATTCTGCCGTCTCTCATACTCGGAGGATGTTGGAAATTCTAGAGGCACTTTTTTCTCTTAAACCATCATCTGTTGGAACCTCATGGAGCTTCAGCTCAAATGAGATAGTTGCTGCAGCTATGGTAGCTGCTCATATTTCTGATCTGTTTAAACGCTCCAAGGCCTGCATGCACTCTCTTTCTATTTTGATACGGTGCAAGTGGGATAATGAAATTCATTCCAGGGCATCGTCAATTTATAACCTAATTGATATTCATAGCAAAACTGTTGCATCAATTGTCAACAAGGCTGAACCATTGGAAGCTTATCTAATACATGCACCAGTTCTGAAGGAGCGACCTAGATGCTTGAATGGGAAAAAGCATTATAAATACACTAGTCGTAATTGCTTAACATCAGAACAGCCATCAGGGCCTCTGTGTAAAGACTCCTATGATTGTAAAAGTTCACTTGTGTGTGAGAAAGCTTCAGACTCAAGTTCACACTCTAGTGAGATTGCTGGGTGCACCATCAGCAAAGTGTTTGCAAATTTCTCCTTGGATGCTACAGACTTGGCCAATTTTCTTACAAAGGACAGGCATTTTGGATTTAATTGCAATGCACAAGATCTTTTAAAATCAGTACTTGCGGAGAAACAAGAATTATGTTTTTCTGTTGTCTCATTGCTCTGGCACAAGTTGATTGCATCACCTGAAACACAACCCATTGCAGAAAGCACTTCCGCCCAGCAAGGATGGAGACAGGTATCTACCTTGTTACTTCTTCATGTTAATCGCTGTTAATGAATTAATATTTCCTGTGGCAATTGTCTGGTAAGAAACAAGATTTCATCCTCAAATAAGAGGCAACATCCCTGATAACATATGCTATGTGCAATGCCAATGTCATAGCTTGGTATCCCAGTTTGCTAGTTTGAAGTTGATTTTTCCACAAGTGTTCCTGCTTGGAACTTCGCTCAAAGTTTCAAAAGGTGGTTGGTCATTAGTTTTGGCGCCAAAGATGTGAAAACCATTTTTCATGCAGAACAAACATCCCTCAAAACAACATTATTTGGTCACTCGCCTTTAAATTTGAGTATACAGGGATTTTTCTTTTCTTTAAATGTGCAGCTCAATCCCATTTCCTTTTCCTGCAACATCCACGTACCCTCTTTCACTATGTGAATGGTATATTGGTATTTGCTAGGAAGAGCTCTGTTTGCTGAACTTACTCTGTTGGCTGAATTTTTTTAAAAATATATTGGCAATTCCAACTTTACCTCCCGAAACTTTTTTTGAAAATGAAAAAATAACAAACGTTACCTCTCAAAACATGTTAAGCTCATGCCAAAGGAGACTGGAGAATGATATGGCCGTTACTTGTTTGATCATGGTAGCACCAACTTCTTCTATTTAGGTTTCTCTGTGAATATGAATTTGTCATCTCAAGCCATGCACTCAACCAGTGTAACATAGGGGTTTGTATGAACCCAATAACTTTTGTATAGACCCTATATTTGTATTAGAAAACCCAGTATGGTTCAGTTGTAAAGAAGAGACAATCAAAGCACTCTGGTTCCCAAGATGTGGGTTCTCGGAACCCACTTATGTTAGTTCTTTTTCTCTTTTAGCTATTTGCCTGATTCTCTTTTTAAAAGAAACATGAACCCGCATCAGTTTTTTCCTTTTTGCTATATGCAAATTTCTTTTTAAAATTTTTTTAAGAACAAAACATAAGATTAACAAATGAAAAAAGCAAAAAGCACTTACTCTCTAAAATGAAAGGAGACTATTGGTTCTTCCACGTTTACACAAACGCAAACCCAAAACCAGATTTTCAATGAAAAGTTATGGTTTCTTACTTTTAAAAATATATATTGAATATTGGTACTCGTACCTTAGTTTGGTGGTTATTATATACTAGCTTGAGGTCGGTGTCCCAAATTCAGAACCCATAAACCTCAAATCCTGACTCCATCTCTGCATGCACCCCATCCACAAAGTAACTACCAACAACCTTAATTAGAACTGTACAGGCAGCATAACAAGCAAATCATTGAACTATTTTCATGTAGGAGGTGAAAATGTTGTATGATAGCAGAAACTGAACTTGTTAGATTGGGAGTCAAAATGAGAATGTTGCTTTTACGATTATTATGCAGTGGTTTTGTGTGATAGCATGAAGAGTGTCCATAATCAAGTTAGAGAACATATTGCTTTTGCATTATATATTTGAATACACAAGAGACTTAGTAGCTTTTTATATGGTGCTAACAATCTTCCATAACTACAGGTGGTTGATGCACTATGCAATGTTGTATCAGCGGCACCTGGAAAAGCTGCAACAGCCATTGTTCTTCAGGTTCAGATTTCGCTTTAACTGTATTTGGTCATTATAGATCATGATCATTTTTTGTTAGGCTGCAGCTAGTGTGCACAGTTCATATTTATTTGGATCCAAATGGCTTAACAGATATATCTGATATTTCAAATAATCACATTTTTTTCTAGGAAAAAGAAACAAGTTTGTCCTTGTCCTATCCGAAATTGAGAAACTTTGCCCTCCATTGAACTTTTGGTCTAATATTACCCCTGCATTAGGAAAAAAGTCTTTTTTTTCCTTGACTCCTAACAAAATTCCGAGGGTAATTTTGAACTAGAGTCGAAAAAACAAGGGGTAAGTTTGGACCTTTTTTCACAAATAATTTGGACACATGGAGTCCACCTATTTCATGTTGGAGCTCCGTTAATTAAAAGAGAAAATATAAGACGATTTGCTTATGGCAAGGGTATTAATAATGGACCCAAAGTGTAATGGAGGAAAAATTGAGCAATTCCGAATAGTTTAGGGGAAATTTCTGGAAGTTTTCCCTTTTCTGTCATATTTTTGGCCTCATCACATGACAAATACATCTTTTTATGTTTATGGGTACAGTACCTGTCTGGGTCCCGGGTTTCTTAGACTTGCATACATTAATAGTTATCATCACTTTGCTTCTAGGTGTAAGTAGTCTTCATCACCATATTTGTTTGGTCACTTTCTTGCCAAACTTTACTTGTCAGGCTGAGAGGGAATTGCAACCATGGATTGCTAAAGACGATGACCTTGGTCAGCAAATGTGGAGAATTAACCAACGTATAGTAAAATTGATCGCAGAACTGATAAGGAATCATGATATAGCAGAATCTTTGGTAATTCTGGCTAGTAACCCAGACCTCCTTTTACGGGCCACAGATGGGATGCTTGTCGATGGAGAAACATGCACCTTACCACAGCTGGAGGTAATGACATATTTAGATTTCTGGTTTAGTGGTAACATCTTTTATAGTTCTTATTTCTCACCTGATGAATTATGATTCAGAAAGCTACGACTTCCTTTATGTTCGTGAGTGCTTGAATATGTCCAAGGATGATTGATTCATCATATTCAATATCTTCTGCATTTTCTGATATATTTACATCCTTGCTCTTTAAAAAATATTGAGCAGCTTTTGGAAGTGACAGCTAGAGCAATTCAACCAGTGCTTGACTGGGGAGAATCTGGACAGTCAGTTGCTGATGGCCTCACAAACCTATTGAAGGTGATACTCTTTACTACACTTAGTTCAAATTGGGGATCAATAAGGGTGTACTTGGTATGAAGGGAACTGTTTTCTTGGAGAGCTAGTGGGTATCTTACTTATTTTCTAGTGTTTAGTAAATAAGCAACAAAAAAATAGTCCGAAAAGTATTTATATGTAATCTAGCAAAACACTATGGGGAGTGGAATGGTCAAGCGTTGGGGGTTGTGGGTAGGGAGGGGGAGACAATGAACTTGGAATGTCACTTATGAAACTTGTTTATCCTACTTTCATTAGGGAAGTTATTATTTCTCATTTTTTTGGGTAATAAACTGCGAATATCACCACAACACCCAAAAATATTTACAAACTAAAGAGCATCTAGCGTCTCAGCCAACTTCTACGAAGAGTGCAGAGAGAATCTAGACATCAGGAACCAGCAAAACAAAAAAAAAACAGCATCTCAAAACTAATTGCAGAGTTCATGAATCAACATGTGACGGTTCCTAGCCTTCCTAGAGCTTGAAACTAACTCTAGTCTCTCTTTCAATTCCTTTTGTATGTGTAACAGCAAACTCAGTATTTACAGTTAATTGCCTAAAACAATTTCCAATTCCTAGCTTGCTAAGTATAGTATATCAAAGCACCATACATTAGCTGTTACAACTTCCTGCTTAAACTGTCTCCGGTGTCTTCTTTTCATCCAGCTCAGGCTTTGTTTAGCAGTTTTCTGTGGTAAAGATTCACCAATTCAAGTAGCTAAAGCAGTATTCACAGTAGTTATCCATTGACAGTCTGCAAATAGGTGCTGATGAGTCTCAGTTATCCCCTCATCACATAAACAACATACATCATCATCAACTGGATGTGTTGTCTGTGCAGCCTTTCTTTGGTTAAAAGTTTGTCATGGTACGCCAACCAAACCATCAGTCTCTGCCTAGGCTACATGATTGAACTCCAGACCAATTGAGCTTCAGACAAGCTATATAGATCACCAAGCATGGCTTGTAACTACTTGACATTGAGTATGAGCCATTAGGAGTTAGTTGGTAAATCCTCCCTTAATATCAGTGCACTACCAACCCTTTAAGAGAATTCAACTTCTTCCTTCTTCCCGTACAAAGTACCAACTGCAGCCTGAGGTGGAGTATGATCCCAAATATCATCATTTTTAAGGAACTTGTTTTCCTAGAGAATGTTTCCTAAAACATTTTGACCAACCAAACATGAGAAAATTGGAGAACCATCTCCATACCAAACACCCCCTTAAGAGTGAAAAAAGTTATATTCTTTAATTTTACTTTGCACTTGATGATAAGATAAACGTAGGTACAATACTAACTAGGTTCCTTTGGGTTAATACATTGCAGTGTCGCTTACCTGCCACAGTTCGCTGTGTTTCTCATCCAAGTGCACATGTCCGTGCTCTCAGTACATCAGTTCTTCGTGACATTATGTATGCTGGTTCAGTAAAACCAAGTGCCAAACAAGCAGCAGATGTAAATGGCATCCACAATCCTGCTTATCAGTACCTTGGCATAAGCATCAGTGACTGGAAAGCGGATATTGAGAAGTGTTTGATGTGGGAAGCTAATAGCCGGCTTGAAAATGGAATGTCTGCTCAATTTCTTGATACTGCTGCTAGGGAATTAGGCTGTACTATATCAGTCTGAAAACTCACTTTTCTGGGGCATATATTAGGTCTCTCTGTACCATACCTATCTTGTAAAAGTCACTTTTAGTTAGAAAATATATTTTAGAGTCCTTTCACTCATCCGTGATTGTTGTACAATGGCATGTAGATAGTCCCACTTGTTTTGTTTTTCATTTGGCACAGATTATGTTTGTTGTACTTCCAAATACAAACATGATTGTGGAAATAAGTAGATGTAGTTGTCTAATATTTGAGTGACCTACAAAAGGCTGGCTCAGCTTTAGAATTGAATTTTTCCTATCATGTAATAACCGTCTTACTTTGTCTTGTACATTCAGCAGATAAAAATCATCTATGCAGTTTTGTTTTCATTTCATTTCCTTGTTGATCTGCTTACTGATTTAGATAACTAATGGTTATTTGAATAGTCTTGAGATCTGGTAATGTGAATAACTTTTGTGCCAACTAGTCTCACATTCTTCCATTTATAGATGGCTTAGGAGGAGTCTTGTCTATGTTTATGATTCCATATGATAATAATAAAAGTTACATGGGCTAATGCCAAGCAATCATATCTTTTTTTTTAATCTCGACTCCTTTTTTATTTTTGTTTGTTATGATGATAACATGAGCCGAGCTTAAATGGAGTAGTGAGGACTTTAATGTATTTGGGGCACAAATTTTGCTGAGTTGTCAGTCAGGTCACCAAATAGACTTGCATCAAATGGTGCATAGCTGAGACTTGCGCTATGCGAACTCTTCAAAAACTTGCATGTCAGATACTTCAAAAATACAGTCCTCGAGGATCGAATACACACTTGACGATATTTTCGGAGAATCTGAGTAAAGACTAAAGTTGGAATCTCCATGTATACTTTATGTTGTTTCAGCCACTACTTTGGGGACTTGGATGTGTTTGGTAAATATTTTACATATTTCTCATGGGTGGTTGGTAAAAATAAATAAATATATATTTTCTATAAAAATACGGACGGAAAACCAAGTTTCACAAATGACCTTCCTCGAACACATCGCTCTCAACCTCCACCCGTCCACGCCTTTACCCTCCACCCTATTCACATAGTGTTTGTTTGAATTATTTATAAATATTTTTTAGGACAATTTGATCTTCTGCTTACCTAACAAAGATCAGAAAATAAGTAAGAAACTACATATTTTTCACGAAAAACATTTTTCTTCCAACCAAACACACTTTTAATGTCAACCAATCATGCCTTGGTTGATCTACGCATGCTAGGGTGTTGGTAGAGGTTATGAAAAAATAAAAAAAGAAGAATAATGGACTTTCGAAGAGACTGAACTAAATGCAGATATTAACTTCAGAGAAAAAAATGCACGCAAAAAAATTCATCACTCTCTATAAATTATTTTGATCAAATAAAAAATGAGAATGAGAGAAACCAAGCTCTATACCCAAGTCACAATCTCTTCTTACTAATGTTATATTATCAAAAAGATGAATTATAGGATTAAGAAAAATCTAATTCGATCGAAGGAGGTGTGTATGTAGAGTCAGCTGACTATAAAAGTTTCTGTTTTTTGCTGTCTTTTCTGTTTCAGCTTCAATGCTAGAAAATCTTACACCTTATCATCCGCTTGTGACGAATCTGATCCATGCTTGATTGAATGGCTACGACGCTCTTTCCCACCAGGTTTAGATGAGGCATTCCCATACCAGATCATTCCGCAAACTGCTATGAGCATGCCAACTACCACTTGCATGTTGAGACCTTCTTTCCCGAAAAACAAGAATCCCAGTATCAAAACGAGGATTGTTTTCATATGACCGATAACTTGGAATGAAACAGCAGTGAATCTTCCAATGCATATGAACTGGCTGAGATTGGTGCCTATAGCTATAGTGCATGAAAGAATGATGAATACCTGCAGAGAAAGAGAGTTAATAGTGTAAGGGACCATGTATAGAACAAAAGGTGCATATATCAAAAGTCAAAACTCATACAGAATATTGTTCATATCAGAGAGTATTTCCTCTGGTGGTCTAATCTCCACTAAAACTTTCTTTGCACCCCCCCCCCCCCAAACCCCCCCCCCCCAAAATTTTTTTTTCAAA